ATATCCAACAAAAAGAGGAAAACCAATACCGGTACATGGTGAAATTTCCACTTTGTTGATCGGTGGAGGCGTTGAAATTTCCATTTTGTTGAAAGTATTGCAGCCAATAAAGAAGACTCGGCATGAACCCTGTCATCAAATAGGACATGAAAGAGGTTAATAAATAGGAAAATCTCTTACCAAGATGAATATTGTCAAATTGACTCTCGAGCCAAGTATATATGTAATATTTTTTATTATTGTGTTGTGTTTAAATATTAACGTGGTGGAACTCATATACTAAAAAAACAATTCTACTACGTTTCTTGACCTAGTGAGACTGTTCCACAATTAAATGTTTTAGTCTACAAAACCATTTTATATAAATATAAATAAATATATATATATATATATATAATGTTTTTGTTCTTGGGTGATTGATTTGTTTTGTTCAAAGTTTCACATGGCGGATGCGAGCGATGAAGGTAGTGGTTATATAACAGGATAGAGAAGCTTGAGCCTAAATATTCGTCTTAGATTGTATTTCGATTGTTTGGAGCTTCAAAGTATATAGATCTAAGAGGTAAAATTATTTCATAATTTAAAATAAAATAATATAATAGATATAGTACATTTTTTTTTTGATATTTTTATTTTACTTAAAGAAAAATGCAAGTTTTAACATGAACTTAATTTGTTGAAAATCAAAGTCATAACCCGTTGGATCGACCCAAACCGAATGATAATGGTGATGAACATATAGTTCTCTACTTGAACCCGCATTGACCAGAACATGAAGTAGTCTGAACCCGAAGTAACCTGAAATTTTTAAAAATGAAGTCATAAGTTGGGCCAACCCAGACCCAATTATAAGAGAGGGCTGGGGTGTTAATATTCCGTACCTTACGTCTTATTCAAGTGAATATGATGATCTTGCAAATATGTAACCTATTTTACATTATGACAAGCCAAACAAAGCTAATACTTTGAAGATTTTTCGACTAAACAAACCATTTGAACACAACACCAATGGCAAATCTTCAAAGAAAAAGTGTAGTTTTAATATTTAAAAAAATCAGACTTTGAACTGTTTGCTAATGGTTCAGTCAAAGTGCTGGTTCAGCAATGAAAAGTGCATATCTACTCCCTCATTTCATCATCCTCTCCCTCTACTGCGCTGCCTCTTGCCGAATCCCGCCACAACAGAACAAGTGTGGTAATTTCACTCTGCCACAAACCCTACTAAATTACATAATGTGTTTGAGAGTTTATAGGCATACTTCCAAGTAGGGGTGAGTTTTGGATACATATCACCCTCTCCAAACCCTACTTTCGTGGGGTTTTACTGGGATTGTCGTTCTTTTTTATGGCAGGGGGGCATTGATGTTTGGGTGCAATGAGATATTGAAAGTACTTACGTGCAGCGGATTATCAGAGGTTGAGGTTTCAATGCCTTTGGTCCATTTCGTATCGCCCTCTTGTGACGAGTAACCTGCGATTCATTGGCAATAGCTTTGGAGTAACTCTTGTGACGAGTAACCTGCTTTAGCAATTTGAAAAGGTTATGTAATGGTATTTTCAGCGTGTTCAAAATTAATTGTCATGTTAAGGAAGTTGTTAGAGGATGAAGCTTCTTTTTAGGGACGACCATTAGTTCCATAGACCCATTGAAGAAAGTGATATCTTGGAATCTGTTATATCCGGGCTTGGCCCTATCATACCCTCCCCCATGTTCCACACCCGAGACTGAGCCCACACTCCCCATACCTTCCCTAAACATCCAAAATATTTCCTTTTCAAAATAAAGTTTTTCCTACTCTTATTTTAGCCCTGGCCGAAAATAAGAGTGTGTAAACCAAAGCCTTTTTGTTTGTTGTTATTTTCCTTCTTTTAAGCCTTTTAATAAAACCCTCTCTTCCTTCCTTTCATTCCCTGCCCAAATAAACCTCACAATCCCAACACAACACCCACAAAGAGCCAAAACCATGACCCACCTCCAGCCCCTAATTCCTGCCCATATTCCCTCACAAATAACCCAAACCCATAAGTCCAAAACCACCCATTATAGCCCCCATCCCTGCCCCTTTTCTCAGCAAACACAACCCCTCATTTTACCCAAATAATAGCCTTAAAAAAATCAGGAAACAACCACTACAAACCAAACCTCAAAACCCCACAACCCCAGCCCCATCTCTGAATTTTATTCCACTTTGGAGACATGATTCAATGGGTATTATC